CTCGCTTAACTTATGAAAAAAACTACAATATTACCTTTTCTAGCGCATTGGCGTTGACCTGAGCTTTGACCTGGAGAGCGCTTATCTACAAAAGTGAAAATGGCATTTCAGTGGCTCAGAGCCACCACAGTAGGATAGAAAATAGGGCAAAACTGAACGCCTCCGTTTTAGCTAAAAGGCCTTGGAAATGAGTTCTGAGGTTTGGGGCATTCTCGCTTAAAAATGTAATGTACTTTAAAAATCTAGTTCAAAAATAATTAGCATCAATTGCAGTTTAGCCGATTACCCTTTTTGGAACCACAGAACTGTTGAGTTGGACTTAAAGGCAGATAGCACTCTCCTGCGAAAACGAAAGGTGTGGTTTTGATATTTGCATTCAATAGAATTAGTAACTATTATGGTAGAACCGATTACCTCGAATAGAACTGCCAGCTTGTTGGAACAGTTTTTGAGGTTGTGGAAATCGACCTAAGAATATGAAAAGAGGCCTCGTAAAGACCGCTTTTGGTAAGATCAGTCACATCTACGACGAAATGAATCACCTCGATTTGGGCCACCGGCTTGTTGAAATGCAGTCTGAGGCTGGGAGGATTGCCCTAGACAAGTAAAGAGCATGATCAAGGCATTATATTCGGATAAAACGCAAACAATATATAACAAACGAAATACCTTTATTGCAACTAAAAGCCTGTTGAAAAGCGTTCTGAGGTTGAGACGATTGTCCTGGAAATTTAAGTCAGTCTCCAAGTCATCATAAACGATGGAATCATTAGCAATGATGAGGAAATAGGTTACCTCTATTGGGACTACGTGACTGTTGAAGTGTGGTTTGTGGTGCGGGACATCCTCCTATCAAAGCAAAAGTTATTTGCAGATCATTGCGTTCAACCTCAACAGCAACAGCTACAGTACGTCAGGTTACCTCGTTTTGAGCCATAGGCTTGTTGAAATACATTGGTAGGCTGGGAAAATTGTCCTGGAAGAAAGTAAGAATCGCAGTCTAGGGGATGATACTTGATAGAATCAGTAACAAGTATGATGAAGCAGATTGCTCTTACCGGGACTATGATCCTGTTGATTAGCGCTCTGAGTTTGAGGGCATTCGCCTGCTAAAATGAAGTACACTCTCAGAAAATTATGCTTGAAAGGTTCGTAAAGTGTTGATAGAACAGTCTACCTCGTTTGAGGACGCAAGCCTGTTGAACCGTGTTTTGGGGTCGTGAGAATTGTCCTGGAAAGAAGAATGCTTGGGATTAATGTTTGTGTTTTTCCAGGACAGTCGCAGTGTTGATGAGTCAACTTACCACTACATGGACTGAAGACCTGTTGCATAGCCATTTGAGCTGAGGAGCATCCTCCTGTCAAAGTTAGGAGTGGGTTTCAGATCATATTCGAGTATTGCCAAGACTTAGACATAGTTTACCTAGTTTAGGCTCACGGCCCTGAGATTGAGGTCGAGGACACTGCCCTAGAAAAAATGTGACTACTTCAGACTACTGGATTAAGTAGGGTAAATAAGTACAACGAACTAACAGACTACCTTGAGTGAAACCACAAGGTCGTTGAAACGTATTTTGATGTGGAGAACATTGTTCTGGAATGGTAAGAAGTACATTACAAATCACTGCATTCAGAAACAGCATGATGAAGGTGAAAATGATTACCGCTTTTTGGACTACAAGTCTGTAGAAACGCGTTTTGAGATGTAGGCCATTGTCCTGAAATATTAAGAACTACAATCTAAACTAATGCATTCGAAAAGGTCAGCTATTGCTACAATGTGAAAGTTTACCTTCGTTGGGAACACATGCCTGTTGAAAAGCGTTTTGAGGGTGTGCGCGCAGATCTGAATAATCAAGAAAGACAATACGGATGGCCGCATTCGAAACTGATAACAAGAGTTAAAATGAACTGCTTACCTTGCTGTTTGGAGCTAGATGTCTGTAGAAATGCGTTCAGAAATTGGGGTCGTATTTCTGAAAAATTAAGAATGATAATAATAATAAAGAATGCAAACAAAGAACGTGAGCAAGAGGTAAATGGAAAACTTACCTTGTTTGGGGGCATATATCTGTTCCAATGTGTTTTGAAATGGAGAGCTTTGCCCTAAATATCCAAGAATTGCGTTCCAAAGGGTCGCAATCAAGATAAAGACAAGCTTAAAATGGAGTTGCTTACCTTGCTTGATTCCACAAGACTGTTGGAAGGCGTTTCGAGGTGGGGAGCATTGTTCTGAATACCGAGAAACGTATCCACGTCACAGCATTCAACGTGGACTGCAAGAGCTACAATAGAATTGCCTACCTTGTTTGATTCCACACGACTGTTGAAAGGCGTTTTGAGGTGGAGGGCATTGACCTGTTAATGAAATGTCACATTCCAAAGAGCCGTTAAAACTGTCAGCAGCACGCTTTGGTGCAAATTACCTTCGTCGGGGCCGCAGGACTGCTGAAGAGCATTTGGGCGGTTTGTGATTTGGCCTACAAGATCGTAAACTACACTTTAAAAGATAGTTTTCGATGAGATCTGCGAGTATTTCACCTCTACTAGGTCTGTACGTCTGTAGAAATGCTTTAAAATGCTGTTCTTAAAGGTCGAAAAGTGGTATGTTAGCAGTGGTTACCTTGTTTAGGGGCACCGATCGGTTGAAATGCGTTTGGATTTTGAGCACATGCGCCTAGAGGATGAAGCGCTCATTTTAAGCGGTTGTATTTTGCAAACTGTGGAAAGGGTTTCTGAATAGTAATATTACCTAGGTTGGATCCACAGGCCTGCTGTGAGTCAGTTTGAGGCGGACATTCATCTGTAACTGCTTAGTCACATCGGAGGGTTTTGATAGATCAACAATATGTAAGGCATCTCATCCTACCTTTTTTGGATCCACAGGCTCGTTGTCCTACCGATTGAGGCGAACATCCAACTGTGAAAGCGAATGGCACATTCCACAAGGTTATATTTTGTCATGATCAGTTACGACTACAGTGGAACAGACTACCTCTTTTAGGACTACAGAATCTTTGGCCAGAGCTTTGCGGTGACGAACATTCAACTGCGAAAGCAGAAGAAGCATTTCAAATGCTTCCTTTCGACACGGTCATTAACAACTACAGCTTAAGACTTTACCTTTAATGGGGCCACAGAATTGTCTATTCTGACTTTGAGGTGCCGGCCAATTTTCTATGGAAGCAAAAAGCCAAATTCCGGACGGTCACATTTACCGGAATCAGGGACAATTATCGTGACATGGCCTACCTCTTTTGAGATTGCATCCCTTTTGTCCAGGGTTTTGAGGTGGGGAGCATTCTTTTGTAAATGCAAAAACTCTTATTTTGACGAATCCATTAAGAAGTTGACCAATAATTTCAGTGTAACAAATTACCTTGTTTAGAACTGCAGGTTTGCGAAGCTGCACATGGATCTGAAAGATGTCAGTGGGAAACAAAGGTTTGTAGGAAATTCTCATCTCCACTCATTTAACGCAACAACTGAACCACCTTCTCCATGCTAACTTTAAAGTTAAGGATTTGGCAGAATTTGTTACAGTCTTAACTTTTTTACCTTGTGTGGGGCTGCAGTTTTGCTGGGTGGCGCATGGGTCTAAAAGACGTTAGTTGGAAACAAGAAGTTCACAGAAAATACTCTCCCGGAACTAATCAAACGTATGGTTTATTAAATCCTGTAGGCATAACCTTTATACATTTTACTCTTCTGATACAAGGTATGCTTACCTTTTTTTTTATCCACTTTGAGTTGTCCTGCCTTAGAACATAGACCGCTTTCCTCTGTAGGACCAAGAACGTGATATTACAACCCATAATAATTGAATCTTTTAAGTAAAAATAGCATCGTATCATTTCTGTTGCTATTTAACACAATTTTTGACAACGATTTGCCATTATGAGAAATTATCATTGCTCCTTGAACTGGCTACGAGTTGGTCTCTGCAATGTTCAGAACTGTGGCAAACCCAACACAACTTTGAAAAGTCTGAACCCATTTGTGCAAAAATAAACTTCCATGTATATGTAAAACCTTCCGTTAAACTTACCTTCACTACTTGAACCCTTTGGCAATGGATTCGCCATTATTAAGTCGATAAGAAATGATTGTTCCCACGCCATTATGACCAGTTGAGAATGAACTTTCCTGTAGTGTTTAGTGAAGCCTCAATGTTCGTGTGTTAGTTGCTTAGGCGTCCTGCACTCGGCTTGGGTGGCGTCGCATACAAAATTTCAAGTGTTGTGTTACGGATCAATTTCCAATAGATCAATAAGTCGATGGGTCGATGGGTCGTCAGTTTACTCGGACGTTGGGCGGTGTTTATTATATACTCACTGCTCGACCTTTATTAGGCAAAAACTCAAAGCTATTGTTTATTGGTGATACGTTCTCGTACGCTTTGCTACAGTTGATGAACTAAAGTTAATTCTTTCCAAAATGCCAAAACAGTTTGCTTAAGGGTCCCCAAATTCATTCTTTTAATCCTCATCATACTAAAAGGCAATTTACCCTAGTGACGGCTGTGTGTTAGGTAACACGATCCGTTTTACAGGGTGCTCCATGCTTACCTCAATTCCTTATCTTCACTTTGCTCGCTGAGGCATTAGCATTTTACATATCATATTCCTTGGATTTCTCTTCTTGGGAAAATTCTGAGTAGTAAAAGTGTGTTGGCACAAAGAATCTAGCTTTGAACATAGAGCTCCGCCTGACTTGCTTTTCCATTAAATTCAGCTTTTGGACATATGCTGCACATTATCCATAGCACCTTTTTGGCCGGGTCGGAGTCACAATCAAGGCTCTTTTTACTGGTTCTGAAAAGCTGACAAAAATCTTGGAGGCTGTTTTACTTTCCATTCACCTTTAACAACGATCACAAAAGGTGAGGCTAAAGCAAAAATTTTGAGCACTCTACCCTGCTGCAAGAAGGATGTGAAAGCGACTCACATGTGGCTGCAGACACCTTTGACTGATCGTTTGTCGACAGTGTGGTCGGAGCCAAGTAAACGGAATTTTAGCATCTCTGATGTGCTTATGTCAGCAAACCATGTGCTACTGATGGTGACTGATGTCTGTACTGGTGAAGATTCAAACGATCAGTTGGACCTGTTTTTCGCCAATTTGCGGTATTCGAATTTGGTGCCCAGTTGTGAAGGCAATAAGACCCCTGAGTCGGATTCTCATTAACCTTTGGAACCACATGGGCCCACCTTAGAGGCCATCTGTCCTCACACAAATTTATTTCTTCTGCGTTATTTATGAAACAGCTAACATAAGACTACGTTATTTAAGCTGGTTCACTGCATTGAAAGCAGAGACTTGAGGCCTTCCTTTGTTCCCTCTTGAAGACTGTTTACTTCATCGTAGAAAGGTTTCACTCAATTAAGCGTAGCCGGAAAATGACAGTGTCTGATTTAATGAATGACTGCAAAACGCAATGCACAATGACGCACTTGGACTAAACTCACAATCATCGCTTTCTTTCAGCTTCGAAAAGTTGTAATGCAAACTGAAGAGTGAAAACTTCCATTGAGAATGTTCTTTAACGAGGACATAGTGTGCTAGATGTTCGGATTAACCATAAAGCTAGAGTGGAACAAAGAGTGCTTGCCTGTGGTATTAAAGAGCCATTAGTTCCAGTAGCAGGAAGCAAACTTTCCCCTTATCATGCGTTCTGGTGAGCTCAAACTGTGTCAAGCTATGCTTTGAAGGAGGAATTTCAATCCTATAAACAGTGTCTCTGTGGTGCTGCAGCAGTTTGATGAAGTTTAAAAAATTCCTACTGAAGGAGCTCCTTCAAGTACTTTAAACACTGCGACACCACTTCAGATTGACTGGCTTACCACATTCGGTGGCCTAGAAATTCTACGTTTCAAGGCTTCCACCCAGGGAGAATCATGAGGTCTCTGCTTTGAAGTTTTGTGGATTTATACCTAGCCACTCAGCCAGAGCGGAATGCTTCTATGCAGTTGATAGCGTCTCTAGTGCCTTGGTGCTGCGGCAACAGGAATATTGTGTCAGGTGAAAGATACCCTCTGCCAACGCGAAAGGAATCCATTTTAGCGTTACTCTTCTTTAACCATGCCAGTTTGCTTAATCATCTAAACTAACATAATTATTTTAACAGTTCTTGTCGAGGAGTTAAGGGGATGAAAATCAACTGAAGGCTTCAGGTGAGCCATCGGACCATGGCGCCAGCTTCCAGTGAGGTCGCTGAAATATTTAAGTAGCGCTGCAGACCAAACAAATCTGTATGGTAGTATCTTCGTGTCATTGGGTTAACCAAATCTGTGTAAAAAATGAGCGAATTTGTCTTCACAGGTTCTTACTATTTCGCAACACTCACAGTTAAGGATGGCAAATGAACTATGTACGAACGAGTGTCTCCAAACCGCTAATCCATATCAAGTTTCCTCACTTGCTACTATTTGTTGGAGACGCCTTACGGGTAGAGCTAGTTGAATTCCACTTTCACATCTCATTGACAGGTGCGTTGGTGACCGAAGTGATCAACAAAGCCACCATGCACAGAATTGGACCAAAAGTTGGCCTTCCACTAAATGTTCCCGATTTAAACGCCAAAATCCCTATCTGATTTGGATATCTGGTGTGCTTTTTGACAGAGGCACCTTTGACTTGCACAACATTGCCCTCCAGTCTGACAAATTTGTGCATAAACCACCAAAAATTGCTCAAAACAAAGTAAATATACTCTGAAAGAAGTAAAGAGAGAGAGAGAGAGA